CAATACCGTTTTCGAACCGAACTCACTCACTCTTACCCCGATCTGATCTTTCGCCTGACTGAGCACATAGTTAAAAGCCTTAATTACCCAAAACGTAAGACTTCAGGTGTAAGGTAAGGCATAACGGCTCGCCCTAAAAGTCGTTTGCATTAACACGCCAGATAGGCTTGTGCACACCATCCGATCCTTCTTGTCGAATCGCTTTCTCCGATACTGAATTGACGGTACTTTCTTTACAGGCCTCTCCCTCAGGATAGGCGTTCCTCAAAAGCCTCTCGCCTTTGTTCTTTTCGCTCTAGACGAGCGATTTTCATAAAAACCCAGAAGTCCACATCGCACTTTCACAACTTCTATTTTGGCAAGTCATCAAAAAGGTCAAGTACTTAGGGAGTTACTTTCGACCCCCAAATTATATTAGTCACTCATATTAAAACATACGAGACAGAGCTGCGTTAATTTCGGGCCGGCTCTATAACTTAACTATCCCCTCAAGTAAAATTCTTTAAGACACAAACTTTATTATACAAGACTTTTGTACGATCCATAAATTTCTATGTATAACGTTGTCGTATAACGTATTATGCCTAATTGCCTACGACCATGGCGAAACCATCGCATAGAAACCAAGATCAAATATACTTAAAAGCTAAGTATCATCTATTTCTTCTGTCTTAATGATTTTCGATCATATTATACATTTATTAAAGGTGACTTAACTTATCAAGTAATGCTGAGAAGAGTTAGTACTTTGTAGTCGTGGCTATGGTGACTTAGTAATGTCATGATTTACTTTATGACTTCTTAGCAAGAAGAGGGTGACAAAGAAGACAAAATGGCGATGGAGTTATTAGATAGGGAACAGAGAATTTCAAGATTACAAAGTATTATAGAAGAACAGCGAGAGAATGAAAAAGTAATGTAAGGAAATGGCATGAATATTGAATAGTGTTAAATACTTGCATTTTTCATTATAAGCAAATATAATTCAATGCAGCAACAATAGCATGCAGCGTCAGTTTTTGATCGTAAAAACATAAATAGTATCTGACACAATAAGTAATTAAATGTAGTTTTTCAAAGATGGATGACAGAATTTTTAGGATTTTATAAAATTACATGCCTTATTTTCACTGTTTTTGTAAATAAATTTTTTTTCAACTTGGTATTTATTAGATATCTTCGTTAAATATCATATTTAATGAGATAATAATAGTCATTATCCTAACTAATGATGTGGATTTAAACGGCTGATAACCACAGCGACACACACACACGATTATCAGCAGTTTAGCTCAGTGGCTAGAGCGTCAGGCCGCGAAAGCCGAAGACGTGGGCTCGATTCCCACAGCGGCGACAGTCTTTTCGTACTTTTTCTACATGTTTTAATAATGATGTGGACTTTTGACTAATATCTTTTTCAACAAGTAATAAGTTAGCTATAATCACTATATAACGATGATACGGGTATACCTATACAACAATTTTACTGTCCACTACTATTACTTCTAATATCTGCTATATCGTTTAGACTCTTACAATAATAAAGGTGATTAATTGATATTTAATGCCATAGTAACAGCAAATGTCCGACTGCCTAAGGCCCTCTCTGTACAGTTGGGTATTACGGCATAGTCCATCTGCCGATTGGCAGATTTCATAAATCTTCGAAATATTTTTGTATTATTACTTCGAAAATATGCAGGTTTCCTCAGGATATTTTCATTCACATTAAAATTAAAAATTTCCTTGGAGCCGGCACCGGCGATCGAACACAGGTTGGCCGAGGATATTGAATTAAAAGCGAGCACACGGACAATGAGCTATTACGGCTTCCCAAAAATTAAAAAAATATATATGTAAGCTAAAAAAGGCCGTTATGTTATTTCTAATATTTATGGTGTGTGGTAGAGGTTTAAATAACTGTACAACAATACTGTTTCCTATTACAATAACAGGGAACAAAGTATGACTGATTACGAAAACAAACTTGCTGCTTTACGCCTTGAGGTAAAACGTTTGAAGAGCTATGACTGTTACGTCAGGGACACCCCCTATCAGGATCTTAAAACAGAGGTGAGGGTGTTTCACTTTAAATTGTTTACTTAAACAAAAATTACGAAGTTAGGCTCTTATGCTCAGACTCGTATAACGTTTAAGGTATAAACGTAGAATCTACCATTCTTCCGATTAATCTCGTTACTAATATTCAGTTTACAGTAGTTGTCACTAATTTCTAATGATGTGGTGGACCGAGCTTGAATTAACAGCTGTTGGAGATGCAAATGCAAGTGGCAACTCTAAACCGAGAGCGGTCGGCATTGGTTACGGCGGCGGCATCGCGCGCACTCATGCTGGAGAGGCACGAGCGTGCTGCCGACCTGTTCGCGAGGGTGACGAGGGCCCGCCGGGAGCTGACCGCACAACTGGAAGGCCGCAGCTCCCAGGAAAACAGAGACAGTGAACTTGAGGTTGGTGTTTGTTGGTTATGTGCAGATCGCGATTCTTTGAAAGAAGTTGTAGCAGAGCGCTCATTTGATTTATGCATTCGATTATGCACGAGCTACTTATTTGTGTGATGTTTACACCTGCAATAGATTCAACATCTAAAAGCGCCACTTCTGTGATTAAATTGACAATTGCTTGTAAAATTTAAACAATAAATTAATACATTTTTAAGAAATCTTTTTTTAGAGCCCATGTCGATGACGATTTTCAAACATTTTCATTGATCCCTATTACTTTTGGATATAATTTGACTCGAGTGGATGAAATTAGGTGCTAAAGTCTAATTAAAAAAAATCTTCAGGCATCGCGTTCGTTGTCATCTTTGTGCGCAAATGCAGCTGATACTTGGTCGGCGTTACAATCGGAGAGAGCTCGTGTACTTCAATTGGAAAGTGCAATATTGGTGCAAAGCCTGCACCTGGATAGAGAAGATCGTGTACGGACGCAGCTAGAACGACGTAGAGCTGTATTGGAAAGAGAAATTTTACGGCATCGTATACCCACATCCGAGTCTGCCATGCTGCTTAGTCGTTCCAATTTCATGATATAATCTGGACGAAATTATTTTATGTGAAATGATAGCTTTTACTAATCTAGTTCCATGTATATTATTTTAAATTCAATAAAACATTGAAATCATAATTGACTAGCTTTAATTGAAAATATTGAATCTACTTTAGATCTAAGGTATTAATGTTTTTAAACCCTTTGTAGGATAACATTATTTTTACATACATAAAATTCACATGGACAAATACCCAGATGAGAAACAATTATCTGTGGGGCACATAAATAGTTGTCACGTTTGGAAACCAAGCCTCGGTGCCCAAGCGAATACCTTGAAAACTGCGCCTAATATGTTTAATTAGAGTATGGTATGGTATGGTAATTATGGTATACGCTGAGAGAATACACTCTGGACATCTTGCAGTTGGCCACGACATCGCAGTTGCCTTTTTGTAATGATAATATCTTGATTGATAATGGTGACAATTAAAAAATTCTATATCAAAGAATGTCTTAACTGATACTAAACGAATGAGATAATTTAATGAACCTCATCATTATATCACTCCTATACCGAGAATATATTGAACGCCCCTCGTAATAATTATCTTTTTTAATGCTTTTTTTAAATAAGGGACTAGTGCTTGACTGTTATTACACTTGTGGGTATGTAGCAATGCAGTCGTAGGTGGTAAACCCAATAACATTATAAAAATCCTGGATTAAAACGTGTCACGTTTTATTGTGGTTAATAATAATTATATATAAACAAGAAAGATATTTTCATCGTAAATTGAGCGCCGTTTTAAAGTTACGTTAGTTCGACGACTAACTCATTCACGCAGCGCCTAAAAAACGCCTTTTTGTGCAAAGGGCACGGAGCTTTTTAGGTATTGTCGCATTTCAAATGGAAAGAGGTTTGCCCAAAAACTGCCTAACCGCTAAGCAAGTAGTAAACCGACTCAGCAAATTGAAATTAACAATTTTATCAGTGGGTATAAAGAAATTTGATCCAGAATTTTGAGGTTGTTTGATTACAATGAGAAACGATTTACCGCCTGACCACTACATATAAAGTCATTTTACAAAAATTTATAAATTATTATGTAAAAATGTAAAGCAGTACAAAAAATTTATTTTAATATATTGTGAGCATAATGTATAATTTTAGAGCCTATGGCCTGCCAGTGCAAACATTTTAGATTTCTTTTCGATTTGATATTTGTTAAGCGTCAATTTATGTAAGTTTTTTGCTAATATTCTTTCACGAGAATTCGCTTCATTAGGCTTACGTTTCATCTCTACGCTTTGCTCTTCATTATTTAAACAACTATTGCTTTCGTCTGCGTTAACTTTACTATGTTGAAGATTATCACCTTTGTATAATTCCTCACTAGATGAAAAATAAGCTGTTTTTGCAGAATTTTTGTTCGAATAGTTTTCTATGCTTGATTTTTTCTGTTTAGATAAATTTTGAAATTGTCTTTCATAACACCTATGTTCATTAAACTCATCATTATTTTTGGATTCGTCTGTAATTTTTCTATTTCCTTCCGTGTAAATTAAACTGTGTATGTCATTTGATTCAGTTGGGTTTGCTATTTCATCTTCAAGAAGTTTTAAAAAATGGTCTAAATTTCTAGACGTGGCTTCAACCCCTTGCTTGTAATAGTGAGATTCATAAATTTTTATTTTCATTTCAAGTAAGTGGATCGTGTCTTCATATTTTTTTCTTTGCAGATTAGTTTTACGAGCATTCTCCTCTAATGTTAATATTATTTTTTCTAGTTGCAAAATTTGTTCATTTCTAATGTCTAGGTTATTGGATAGAGTGTTTATTTCAAAATTCTTTCTTTCAAGTTGCCGATTAAGCTGTAAAAGTGCACTGTTTTAAATGTTATAAAATATAATTAAAATTAAAGTCCAATATTACCAATTGAAAAAAAATACAGAGTGTGAAGCTACAAATGACCAATATAATAAAATTAAGTATAGACCTCCGCATCGGCATTAGCTCTATATTCTATATCGTTCCTTAATTGTTTAATGATGTTAGATTGATCTTCTTCTACATTTGATAGACTTTTTATAACTTTGTCTTTTTCTCTTAAGTTGAGCTCTTGTAGCTTATTGGTTTCCAAGAGTTCCATTAATTCGATTTGTTTCTTTTCAATTGATTCAGAGAGCTTATTATTCTGCAGATTTGCTTCCACTAGACCAGCTTCCTGCTTGGTTATCTTTAACATGGAATGAGAATTTAAATAATTACAGGTATGATGAAATGTATTAATTTCCAAACATCAATATACATAAATATAGAATACCGTGTCTTGTAACGAATTAATTTTGTTTAATCCGTCAATCTGTTGTTGTTGCATCTGCTTCAAGTTATCTTTAAGCTCCAACAATTTGTGCTCATAAGGTTCGATTTTTGCTTCACTGCAAGTTTATTTTAAGTGCAAGTTAAAAATATTCGAAAGGGAATGGAAAATTGTCATCTTGATATCTATTATAGAACTTTACAACTAAGTATGAAAAATTCCGAGTAATCTTATGGCATAGATATGGATTCTTTCAGGGAAAAAAAATTAAGAACTAAACTCAACGCGTCGCATCAGTAGATTTTTAGAAGCTTTAAGTGTTATATATATAATGCATTAAAATATTTTATATAATTTGTGAGTTGTTCGAGTTGTGTTGTAGTGAACAAGTTTTACTTACCTATTTTGTAACTGAGCTTTTAATAATTCTTCTTGATTTTGAAGTTCCAAAATATAATTCTTTTGGTTTTCTAAATTTTGATTTAAGTTTTTGTTTTCTTCACGAGACTCTTCCAAGCTTTGCTAGAAAAAATAAAAAATAATAATTACGATGAAATATTATCCTTAAAGTTTCAAAGTTAAGTTACCTCGATTTCTTTTAAAGTCTCAGTCTGTTGTAGTAAAAGGTTTTTGTAATTTTTATTTTCTAAATATACTCTTTCTATCTCATCCTTAATATTTTTTTGTTCATATTCCAAAACCATTTTGTTACCTACGATAAGATTAATTGTCGTAATGAAAAAGATTAAAATTAAAAAGTACTCCGTAATCAAATAGCTGCAACTAACTTAATTGAGTCTCGATTTCTTGTAATTTATTTTCGAGCTCTTTATTACGCATTTCAGCCTCTAATAGTTGCTCACAATAATGTGACTTCAGTTTATTCTTTTCTTCTATTTCAATGTTGTACTTTGTTTCAGTTTCCGCTAGTTTTGCAATATTTAGTTTCATTTCCATGTGGTTATTATTAAGAGATTCATTATAATACTGTGATAATTGTTTAAGCTGTTTCTCTAGGTCATCTTTCCTGTTTTATTGATAAATAATGGTTAGTGTTTTATGCCTTAGACTTGTACAGTTTAGAAAAATTATAGACTTACTCAGTCTGCAACTGATCACGATCGTATGCAATCTTTTCTAAATTTGTTGTATTTTCGTCGACTGATTCATTTAATCGTTTTAATTCTTCGTCGTATTTTCTTTGTAGCTTTTGGTTCTAATTGAACGAAGTTTTATAAATATTACTTTACATGTTATATAACAACTTTTTCTGATATCTATATCCAATAGTAATAATTTTAAATAAAAATAAGATTCGATTACATAATGTAATTTCTTTGAATTATTATGGTTTTATAGTCTCTATTTGTCTCCATCGGGCAGAGATTTAAATATCACGATAAATATACAAGAATTAATAATGTGTGTATGTAATAGAATAATATGAATTGTTAAAAAAATATTGTTATTAGCCTGCGCTTTCTCACTGCAGCGAAAATGCCTTCCTTTGATTATTCCAATTTGTATGTTAGATCTTAAAAGACTTAGTAATATATTAAATACCTGTTCTTGTAATTTGATAATTATTGCCTCTTTAGTCTCTAATTTTGAGTTTACTTCTTCCAGTATAGCTTCTAATTGAGATGCTCGTTCCGTAGCAATTTTACCTTGCTCTTCAGTTTTAGCCAAACGATCCTTCAAAGTTTTCTGTTTTTCTTTCAACTCCTCCAGTTCCTATCAATCGATAATTTATATTAATTTATAAAAAAATGTTTTAATTACAACTTCTTAAAAGTAATAAAATCACACTACAAATAACTTAACTTTAAGGGAAAGAAAAATGGAAACAAGTTTAGAAAATTAAACACGAAATTATTAATTTATCAGAAATGAAAACAGCTCACCAATATTTTATTCCTGTTTGAGTGGGATCGAGAATTTTCTGCGCTGCATAGCTGTTTCCGAAGATCAGCATTCAGTGCATTTAGTTCTGATAGTTTATACGTCATATTTTCGGCTTGTAAATGCATTGCCACGGTGTCGTTGACTCTTTGTCTGTTCAAAATAATGTAAAATATAAATAAGTTACAAAATGTTTTACATACGTCTATTATTTGGCGAATATTTTATATTATACCTAACGTAGTGTTCAATTTCTTGCAGCTCTTTTCTAAATTCATTTTTAACGTCATGTAAAATGGCCCTTAACATTTCATTTTCCGAATTAAACTCGGTTATTTTTTTCGTGAGGCTAATGTTACTGACCTGTTGATAACAAACAATAAACAAAAATTAGGGGAATTATACCAATGAATTAGACTTTAATTATAAGTTTTTTTGTATTGTGTATTACCTTTGTTTTTAAAGAGTCGAGCCAGTCAATAATCTCTTGTCTTTTAGTTAAAGCTCTTTCGCATGTAGCAACTAATTTGGACGGTACTTTATAAAATTTTTTCACGTCTATAGCCAATCCACTGTTCTTTGAAGATGTACTACCTAAAGGAAGTTTCAAATTTCAATTTCTTACCCCAGTTTAATTTATTATAATTATTTATAACTATAAGCTGTCGATGGTGATGTAGTTATAATGACTAAAAATTAAAGTTTTATTGTTCAGTACTTTCTATATTTCTCATAAAAGCTACGCTGCAACGAAACTTGAGTACGTTGACTTAGGCTAGCTATCCTATAAAATATTAGCAATTTCGTGGGCCCTATGACCGTGAATCTTCACGATTCCTACGACTGAGACGATAACAATATCAAAAGAAGACAAATAAATAAAAAATAAATAGAATAGAAGTCAAGTATTCCAATCCCGAAATGCATGTGTATTAGATCATATGTTCTTAGCAATTTTTGTGTACTTGATGTTTATAAAATAAAAGAAATTTAACGGTGGTAGGGCCACGCAGCAGCCTCGGCTGTTGCAAGAATGGGCAGGCCCGTCCGGGTAAGTACCACGACCTCACAGAAGACCGGCGTAAAGTGGAAGTATGACAAATACTTTCGCGTTTCGTCTGGTGAGTGAGGTAGCCGGAGCCCAATTTTCAAAAGGTTGTCAACACATCTGTAACCCTCGGGTGTAGCAGATGTCTATGGGCGGCGGTATTTACTTAACATCAGGTGAACCGTGTGCTCGTTTGACAACTTTTCGCATAAAAAAAAAAAAAGAAATTTATAAAATTTTCTTTTATAAATTTCCAATTTATTTCTTCATTAACTTTACAATTCATGTGAAAACTTAAAATGCAGCTTAAATAAATGTAGTAAATTTTCTGAAATAAGATTCTTTTATATACCTAAATTGCAAAACCGTTGAATTTTTAAATATAGGAAAATGTTTCCTATATTATAAAAATTAATGTTTATTTTTTTATTATTTTCGCCAACACAGACAAATACTAAAAATTAAAAAAATACACATTTTAAAGACACGAAACCTTTAAGACATTATTATAAAAAATGGATGTAGCAAACACAAAATTAATACAAGTCCTGTATAGTGTCCAAACAGACCATGAGTATTTTGAAGCTTCGACTCAGCACGTAATTTAAACAGTTGATCAGTGGGCATTTTGGCTGCGTTCAGACCACAATCATCCGTGGAGTTTATATCTATACTTTGGTCGGCTGCCACAACTTTCTGATGAAAAACATAAGAAGCATTAGTTAAGATAAAATAATGTGGACAACATTCTAGTTCTACAGATAACATAAATAATTTGCCATTGTTAGACTAAAAGTATACCGTACATAAATATTATCGTTTATTGTTAAAATTTTCAGATATCACAATAGTTACTTTAAGCTACTTCACTGGTAGGATCTCGAAGCACCTGCTGTTGAACGAATTGACAGACTCGTTCGAGGAAGCCGTGTGTGGCCTCACAGAAAACCGGCGTGAAATGCAAGTATATAATTGCATTTCGTCTGTTGAGTGAGGCAACCGGGGCCCACATTTTTTAAAAGTTAACAACGCCTCTGCAACCCATCAGATGTTGTAGATGTCCATCGCCGGCGGTAATCACTGAACAACAGAACCACCTGTCCCCTGGCTAAATTTTACATAAAAAAGTTTATAGAAAACAACTTTTACGTTTAGCATAGAAATCCATGACTTATCAGTAAAACAATAATATTCGTGAAATATTTTCCCAATCTCTATACATATAATTATCATGCATGGTCTGTAATGGGATGGTACCTTACGCTTTTTTAATTAAATATAATAATCTATATATTTTCATCATCATTATTTATATATACTTAGATTTGAAACAACTTGTTTCAATTGGAAATGTACTGTCAATATTTAAAAAAAATAGTTATTCTTTGAACTAAAACTAGATTAGTTGACTATTCTCAGACAGTGGTGTTTGTTTGTCTTTTTTTTTATTATAATTTACTTAAAATCCTTAAATTATGTTTCACACGTTTGAAGTTATAGATTAACAATTATTTTTCACCATTTCACCTGTCTACTTTTCAGCTCAATCTTCATTCTTTGGAACTTATTGATTTTCATCTCCCGTTCAGAACTAATGTCGCCTATTTGCTCTTTTTCTGGCTTGATTACATCTAAAGGGTAATAAAGACGAAAAGTAAAAGGGGGTTGTCTACGGTGCAATCCAAATAGTATAGGCACATATTGTTAGCGCTCACAACTATGAACCTTACTCGAAACAGGGAGATACTTATTTCACCGATCTTATGCTCCAACAACTGACAAACAGTCTATTATCATATCTTATTGCTCCTAGGTCTGCACATTGTGTGAATCATGTTGTTCGTGGTATGAGCTAGGTCTTTATCGACCGAGCTAGCTGCCTGAACATCCCTACTTGGGGACATACACTTATGTCCTGAAACTATTTGTGGGTCACACAAATACCCTTCCGTACGAGGTGATCCAAAAGTAATGGTAATGAATATAAACTAAAGTGATTAAAATAAACAAAATATTTATTTTCATCGTAGCCTCCAAACAAGTTAATGCATTTATTCACCATTTTTACAAACCCAGTATTCCCTTAGAAAACAAAATCATTGCCTTGGCTCTCCCAAAACGCTTTAACAGCAGCCATGTTTTCGCTATCATCTTCAAATTTCTTGGCCCGGAGGTGTTCTTTCATCCTAGATCTGGCCATTACGGCGTGTGTTTAAACAGTTCAAATTCTGGTTTTCGAATGGCAGCCATCAGCAACTGCCGCTTTATCATCCGGTGCGTTTTCTTCATAAATATTCCACATCCAAAGCGCGGACACTTCTTATTGTGTAATCGCTAGCAACGATCCTTTGAGCACTGAATTTTTGAATACGGGACCCTATGATCACAACTGATAGTTATTCGATCCACTAATCCAACAAATTCGACGTTTATGTCTCTTTATTCACGTTGTCCGCATAAGAATGCGGAACATGGATGGACGTCCTTCGCGGTGTTTAAGTTCAGCGGACGTTTTTCCCACCGTAAAACGGTTAGGCCCTGCGTATAGCGGTGGAATGTAGAGGGGCAGGGCAGAGCCGATTATCATTACTTTCAGATCACCCCTCGTGTTTGGCGCAAATTGCGATTTATTCGAAATCAAAATCAAAATAATTATGCATAAAATATTGTGCAATACTTTAAAAACTAAGAAGTCATTTGAAAAGCAGCAGTAGACTTAAATCAGAGAAACCTGCTAAATTACTAACACTTTGATCCATTCATTAACTAAACTATTTTTAACTTCTTTATGATTACTAAGTGTTCGCTATTCCCACTTCAGGGTACAATGACTAAGTGACAAGTTTATTGACCTGACTACGCGACGCAAAAATATATAATGTGTATATCATCCTAAATTTATGTTTTTATGTTTGCTATTTTGTGGCGTTCTGGGCACCGAATTCGTAGGACGACAATCTTGTGAGTAACTAAAGATATGACAGTTATAAGAACTCAGTATGATAAGACGCAATAATATAAAAAGTTATAACAGCGAATAGAAAAATGTTCCATTCAAACAGTATACTATTGGCTTTTACAAAAGTTATAGCTAATACGTAGTGGGTTTTAGATTTTTTTATTCTAGTTACTTGTTAAAATAGTTTAATTTATATTATTTATTACTTCATTTATTAAATAAAAGAGGTTTCTCTTTTATTTAATAAATGAAGTTAGAACAGTTAAATGAGGACTTTAAACTTATTAAAGCGTAGTGTTTTATGGACCTTTCATTCTCAACATTTCTGTGTAACAATTAATATAGCACACTTAGCATGTCTGCTTTAACCATAATAAAAAAATTACCTTAAAACATTAACTGACTTACTTACCTACTTACTAATGAACTTACTTACCTCTCTCTGTCAGATCGAGGTACTCAAATGCGTCGTTAGATTGATCACTCCGTTGCATTTCTAGGTCTTCATATTGATTTATAGTTTTCTGTTGAGGTGGGACGGTATTAAAGTTATGAAAATTAATGTTAAATGTCAAAATAAAAAAAATGTTAAACTTATATTATCTTTTGTGACAAATATTTATATATAATAATTAATGTTGCTTTTTTTTAAAGTAAGAGGTTTAAGCGGGAAGTTCAGTTTTTTGTTGTTGTCAAGTGCTGTAGATGCATTTCCAACCTTCAAACACGGCAGACCCCTGTTATCTTACTCAACAAACGGAAAGAAAACAATCTGCGAGATCGTGGCACTTCCCTGGACGAGCCCATTCCGCTGAGAAATGAAAAGCTAACAATCTCAATATAAATAATAATAATCTCAGATAAAAGATGAATGGTCAGGTATACCTAAAGAAGGTCGCAGACGAACCTGCAGGCATCAGCTCATTTTATTAATATAACGGTCTCACCTGATCAGGTAACATCCTGCAGTTCTTGGACGGGTAAAGGGTTTTTATTGTCTTCTAAAAACAAATTCACCATGTGTGTATTATTTACATTATACTTAATAAATGAAGTTACTCAAATCATCCAAAGACCTTACCTGTTGAACGGGAACTGTAATGACTGGTCTTCCAGTTTTATTTTTCTGGTTATTGTCTATCGCTACTCGCTTTGGTGTTGCTGGTGGCTTCTGATAAAATAATTGCGGTACGTGATTGATAAATTGCTATATTTTTCATAATACAGATAATATTTATACGGTGGTGCTAAATATATGACACTGATTTTAATACCGAGTTATATTAGTTGCCGTTTCTAATCGTTTCAAATAGGTCGTTGAATTAAGTAGACTTATTATAATTGCCTAAGAATTCGCTTCCATTTTATTCAATTTATTTTGTTCGAGAAGCGTATTTTTTCTTTTACGATACAACGATTTTTTTTTAATTTTTCACGACATACCTAATATAACAACTAAATAGTAGTACACATTAGGGTGATCAAAAATTCTGGCTCATTATATTTAGGAACTTAAACGCAGTTTGTACATTACATACATTTTAAACAGTTAGTCAAACACGACTCAAATTTGAGATATAAAGTTCATCATCATCATCCTCCTTCCCTTATACCACTTAGATGGGGTGGACACAACACGGGAACACCCAGTTCCGGAAAAATTATCCGCGTGTCACATAAATACTCGTTCCGTGTAGGAATTGAACCCACGACCCCGGCGTCGATGCGAATAGCTCAGTAAAGACGCCACCGAGTCATATAAAGTAAATGTGATATGGTAAAACGTTGGCCAACTTTTTACTATACACCCGATCTATACAAAAGTTGGCACCTAGACGTACAAGATGAAGAGAAGACAATGTAAACTTGGTCAGAGAGGTTATGTTTATTATACAGCGTGTCTTTACCATCGCGACAGTAAATGAACACACATATAGAGGATAACTTTTGTTTAAACATTTACATTCTTTAAACATCAATATTTAAAGTTACAAAATTTTCCAAAACAAAGAATTTTAGAACACCCTTACGTATAAAACTGTAACGTAAAGTTCTTTTGTAAAGGTCTCGAAGCATAATTATGAATGGGTTGAATGAATTTAAAAGAGTCAAAACATACTGTTAGAAGGAGAGGCTTATAATGCGACGCTGTGGCAACGAATGAAAAGGTCTCTGAATGTATGAATCAGTCAGTTGTAGTTGTATAAGATGTTACAAATTTTGTTTCTTTTTTACTTAATTAGTTTGTTTGAAAAATATTTTTTTTTTAATGTTAATATTTTTTTATGATTATTGGCAAGAAGCGTTAGACCTGTGTTTATTTATTGTCGCGATGGTAACGACACGCTGTATATATAATTAACATGCACGTGTTTTAACCTTAATAGGTAGACAGATATAGTTATTAACAGACATAGATGTACCAGGCCAGTAGATTTTAAAACATGGCAGAGAGTTTTATCATCATATACAGAGTGCATAGCAAAAATTGTATTTTGCACATACAAATGAACCTGCTACGTCGAAAGCAATGAGTGAGCACAGGTTATAAAGTTTTTTATTTACTTTCGAAGATGTTGAGTTCCTCTCCCTACAAGAGCGAATGGAACGCGGCACTTCATGTGTTTGTGAAGGTGTTTCTTTATCCGAGGCAGCACGACTGGTAGATTTTGTCCGAAACTGAAACATAATAAATAGAAAACGTCCACTGACATTGAAATGCGTATTAAAGTAACTTATCAGTAATAACTCAGTTATTTCGCATGTTTGATAATGAAAAGGAACATGAAGCTCCTTTTATCACTGAAATAGAAATGCCGTATTGGGTTTTTCTATTTTAAATCTTTACTGAGAGTAAAGCCCGGTTTAAGGTAGTAGTTTTCGCTGGCAATAAATTAAAAAAAAAAAACAGTTGCCAGGTGTACGCTGATAGGGTTCAAAGCTGCGACCTCAGAATGAGCGTCTTAGACATTACTCCACATCTAGGTGTTGTCCCAGGTGCTATGTCACCAGCGTAATTTAAACTTCTCATTGCATTTTTTACCATGACATCGGTATTGTTGACTTTATTTCTGTACGGAGGTCCAGATTGCCTCTCGGAATGCAAACGTTGTGGAATCCGGCATTTATACGGAACTCTTACGGCATCGATGATGTCTGGAAATATAAAAGAAATTTTAGTCCTATCGAAAACAAATGAGCCATCTCTTTCTCTATTCAGCTAACTTAAAAGGCGTACAAAGCTCCATCCGATAAATGTATATACACATAAAATTTAATTAAATATAAAAAAAATAAGCGCATCACTTGAGAACTGCTGGACTTAAATTGGTCGTGATAATCAAAATAATGTTTTTAGAAACGAAAATTGAGGAATACTAATAATTATTTCTTTTTCACATTACTCTAGTTTTCAAAGTTATTGAATATTATTTATTCCTTCACCAGAATGATGGCTAGATCACAAAAAAGATCGTCATAGTAACAGATTATAAGAGCTACCTTGTATTCTCGGTTCTTCTGATATATGCTGAGACATATTTATTTACATTATATTATTACCAATGCAAATTATATTATTAAGAGTTAAAACAGTGAATTTACAAAAATCTTCTAGCTTAGGATTTCCAAAATTATAAACCTAATGACATGTTATGAAAGTCATTTAAACAGAAACTGATATGGCCAGCCTGGAATTCCTTTAATACGCTTGTTTTAAACAAATCTAAATTTAATTGAGTTTAAAGTTAGCAATTTAATAAAAATAAAAAATTACTTAGTTATGTATTGAATGTTTTTTTATTACCTTTTTTAATAATTGGAATATTTCATTAAATTTCATCAAGAGTATATGCTATAATAGTAATAATGAAATTACCTAATTTTATTACTATTACAATAGAAAAGTCGTAGCGTGTTATTGTTGTATCATCACTTAGTAGATATAGTCAATATAAAGTATGAAATATAATCGAATTTTTCCCATGCCCTTTACATACAAGGTGATGAATTTAATATGAATAACTCATCTTAATTAACTCTAAGGTCGTTAATAAACTATATTTTAAGAAAGAACCTGTTCAAACCTATTGTTTATTTTGACTGCTTTTATCTTAATTCCCGCTGTTAATTTTCCAGAAAAATATTAATTAAGTTCTTGTGGAGATTGATTGCAGTTTAATAAAAAAACTATTTTCAAATTTGGAATCATGTCAAACGTTCAAGAAATATCATTCAGTATGTATTGTCATTGTCAAAATTGAAACCGGTTTTGTAATTATCTTAAATTTATTTGCAGTAAATTATAACATCTTGAAAGAATTATGGCGAGTGCAGCCAAACTAAAAAAAGATAAACTATGTAAGTATCTTTGAGGAGTGGAAGCTCGGTGTAAATAAACATAGCTACACCTAAAATTTAAAAAAAGTAGCCATTCGTGTTGGTTCCTTTCAATTGTAGTTTTAGTATTCACTACAGTAGGATAGCTTCATTCTGAACTAAAAAAAGAAACAAAGTATGTCGTCGTCCAACATTTTTATTATTTTATATTTTTTAAAATTCACTTCAGCAAAGTATGTTAAAAACTAGGAACAATGATGGCTTATGTAATTATAAAAATGCAAATTCTATATTTTCACCTTTCCATTTTTCGATCGGAGTTGCTTTGCTAACAACCAAACACTAAATTTATCCATACACTAGAAGATTACCCAAATAGTGTTTTGCATGCACCATGCTTAACACGAATAAGGCTGATAATTACTCAGACTTTTCAGAGTGATAGCTCAGTTCGGGCGTTCATAATTACTTCAATATACAATGATGTTTAATAATATAGATGATGCATGTCCATACTCCATGATGTTAATAATTGTTCCGCTTTACATAATTTATATGACATATATGTGAATGTGACAGATGATTTAGAACGTATGATCAGGAAAAAGAGAGCAGTCTATACAACAGCAATCTAATTACACCAATTGGTGTAATTTGAGTGCTTCAGCTTCGGAGCGCTATATATATATTATCATTGTCAATGTACTCGAGCACAACCTGACTTAAATCCCCAGTGCTGGCGCCTAAACTGGTAATTTTAAGTGCTCATTTATTATGTGCCTTGTAGTCAGACATGTACAGCTACCTTACCGTTCAGATGGATCAGCACCCCGTTTGGCGCCGCGAGGCACAACCTCGTCTCTAGCGCGAACGGCTCGCAACGCCACCAACCGCAACTCGACGTCAACTACGTCACAAAAGCCACCATCTAGAAACACGACGCCGTCTAAGGTGAATAGCGAATAACCTCCTTGGACTTACATTAAATTTGCGCATGAAAATATACTCCTTGGTACCCGTAAAGTGAATGTTTTTAATGCAGCAAGCAGTACAAGTGAACTTTAATTAAATTACATTTACATATTTACTACAAACGCCAACTGCCAACTACCACCAATCTTAAAACTCACGTAAACATACTCATAATTTTTTCTATGATGTACTAAAAACACCCTTTCATCTTTTATTAAAGAAGGCTATTTTCGGCTGTTGCATGAATGCACTGGCTTTACCGCAAAGTACCGCTTTTCATAGAGGCGTAAAGTAATATTTTAACCTCTGCATTTAGGTAAAAACAAAGCCTTGAACAAGGGCTGGCATATCACCTGCATTAGCTAGCATACTCCATTATAAAATGGTAATAGCGTATTGTACTCAAAACTAGCTCCCAAAATTTTCTTGGAAATTTAGGGGCAAATGAAGGAATAGTTGCGTTTATTTTCACGGTAGTTGGCTCTGAAAGTATTAACTGAGGTTATGTTTAACTGAAGTGTAAGATGGTCATATCTTACACTTCAGTCAGTCGACTGTTTGATTAAACATTCAAACCAGTCCTGATTACAGATTACAATTTATGTAAATCGATTTATATTATTTTTATTTTTTTTTCAAAGCCCAAATCCGCACCTAAAAGCAGTGTCCCACAAAACGAGTTAGCCGTTGATGATAAGGTAAATTTTAATAGTCACATTAAAGATAATTTGACATTAAGTTGTAAAATAGTTTGATAAGTTGTATTTCTGTTATATTCAAATTCAAAATTTATAATTTGCAGACTTTCCAATTTTTTTTTTCTTCGTTTTAGATAATCAAAATATGCAGTGAAATCGATGTCATTAAAGTTAAAAGTTTAGAAAATGTGGAGAATGACGAAGAGGTAAAAAGATTTTTTTTTTCATTTTATATATATGTGTAAAAACACGATATCTCATTTAATCCGAATAATACACTAATAATTGACTACATCTGATGATTTTGCTAAATCGAATTAGACTCCGTCTTAAAAAAAATGGCTTAAATATGATTTGAATAGATATATGTAATGTTAATATAATGATAGCAGATTAGCACAAAAAAATTCATGTTTATTTTTCTCTATCCCAACAAACTGAATTATTTTGTTATCAGCGTACATAGTGTTCACACTACCTATGAATCGTACATAATTTTTAACATACAATCTGTAATTTTAACTAGCTACGAAACGTAAAGTATAATTCAAAAAATTTCGTCGCCTTTCGCTCCTACACAAAAATATTGTTGATGTTGTCTTTCTCCGCCGAGTTCACGCTAATAACCCAAAGATTAACTATACAAATTCATTATTTTACCTAGCCGCCGCCGAAATGAGTACTCGGGTTGTTTTAGAAAACAACCCAGAAAAACCCCATATAAGTTCGCCAGAGCTTTGATATAATAAATTTTAAAATAATTTCTTTTTAATTTATGTACTCGATAGCACACGGTGGCCGCGTTGGCAATGGCCGATTCAGTTGACGTATGCCCTAACGACACCGCGGAATGTGACACCGAAGTGCCGCCGGTCGATGGCGAACCCGTTGATGTGCAGGAAAATGGCAGTGAAACTGCCAGTAAGTAGATGTGTACTTATTATAATAACTAATGATAAATATACTTATTTTTGCGAAAATACTTCCGAACAACGCTGGCCACCTCAGCAGCTCCTCCTTGGAGAGCATAGACCGTGCCTTCTTACTCAGCATCCTCAACCACACTCTCACTTGAGCTCAATGAACTTATTGAGCCCGCAGCAACCTTGAAGCAGTCCGGGTTTCAACGATACCCGGTCGAAGGGGTGAATAGTGTTCTCTTATCGTATATTTTACGGTGGTAGGGCCACGCAGCAGCCTCGGCTGTTGCACGAATGGGCAGGCCCGTCCGGGTAAGTACCACGACCTCACAGAAGACCGGCGTAAAGTGGAAGTATGACAAATACTTTCGCGTTTCGTCTGGTGAGTGAGGTAGCCGGAGCCCAATTTTCAAAAGGTTGTCAACGCATCTGTAACCCTCGAGTGTAGCAGATGTCCATGGGCGGCGGTATTCACTTAACATCAGGTGAACCGTCTGCTCGTTTGACAACTTTTCGCATAAAAAAAAAAAAAAAAAAAAAAAAAAAAAATATCTAATACAAAATCTTAAGTTTTAATGAATATGGCACCCCTACTATAGTCTACTTTTTTGGTATGTACTAATAATAGACATGATAAACTTTTTGCCTTCAGAATCCACGAATGATGATGAAAACAGAAACCAAATAGACGGTGATTTAACCCAAATACCAGGTTGTACGGACGCATATTTCTCACGTTTTGTGTGAATGAATAATGGAATTTCATTTTTGACACGTTCCATGCTTTTAGAGAACGAAAAGGTTGAAGTTGGGCATTCTTCGATCGTTAGTCGTCCTCAGACCCCAAAGAGCGGACTATCAAATCTGTCACGATCATCTCCACGAGTGCAGAGCCGCCCAGTGACGCCGGTAAAGCCAACCAGACCTGTAACAACAGTAAGCCGTCCGAACACCCCACGTCATTCATCACTCCCACGCCCCATGGCCTCGTCAGCGTTAAAACCTTCGCCGGCAGCACAGACACCAGCTAATAATACACAGTTATCCAAAACAAGTAACGGACAGGAGGACGTTCACTGCCATATTTTGTGCGAAGCAGAAAGAGTTTCATCGCATGAAGAAGGAACTCGATTTGAAGCAGGTATAAATGTTTGTGATTTATTGACGGCAGCTAATGAAGTTATTTTTTACATAGAAAGGTAGCAATGAGTTTACAAAACGTGTAGAGTTATATGTGCGTAGCCATCTTTTAATAAAGTGGGCCCCGGTTACCATACGCATCAGACGAAACGCAGAAGTATAACACTTCCAGTTCACGCTGGTCTTCTCTGAGGTCGTGGTACCTCGCCGGACGGCCTGCCCATTCGTGCAACAACGAAGACTTGCGTTCATCGAATCAAATATAAGTTTAATTGGATTAATTAAAGTGTCAAATAATTTTCTCTAGGGGAGTTTCTGTACATGATAGCAAACAACTTGTTTACTATATTACACAAACCAATCAATTTCCCATTTTATTGGTTAATTTTCTAATTTTCTTAATTTCTGTATTTTTTTATTGTAAAAGAAGAGCCTCTCTTGCTTATTGTGATCGTGTTTGGTTTTAATTAAGTTTAAAATTGTTAGAGTATTCCTATAACGACACTCATCATTGTGACTGAAATGGAAAAGTTAACAACTGTTTCAGCTTACATGCTTTAATATCATCATTTTTTTATCAGACTTTTCTGTTAGCAAATAGCGTTAAAATATTGTTAACGCCGCGTTTAATTTTTGTAAGTGTCGCTGCTCGTTGGTTAAATTAGGACATAAGTTTATTTCAGAAACAAAAATGGCTTTTACAAAACACTGCAAAACACAATCTGTTCTATTTAGGAAATAATAAAATGGGCCTTTTCATTTAGAATGTACTTCATCGTTCACTCTTACGCGTTCTTATGTTTAATGAATTTGGGCTGTGTCACACAATATCATGAATTCCCGCGACATAGAGATCCGGACTCCTCTGTAGTTTTGTCATAATTTCGACGTCTCTTCCACCAACTGGTGTTTGAGCATCAACTGGTCAAACAAGCTGTCTGTGTATAATGTGAAAATTGCCAAAAACGATAGCGTTTCAGCATCACTCAATATTATGAACACGGTTTTAGCTATGTATAGCTCTGTGCCAGTATTAAAAACCAATCGATATTCTAACACGCTAGTACATTTTTGGTTAAGTAGTTGCTACATTATTTACAAATTACTTCGTGAGTATTACAAAATTGTTTATCCAAAATACGACAGCGCATACAGCAACAACATTCATTCCAGAAAACAATATTGGAGACGTTTAACATTTTGAAAAGTTTACATGACCGTATGTTGAAAGAGGGGAAAACCGGTGAGGGCGAGGTTTTGTACCAGCGAGAGCTTGTGATGTTTAACGTTGCTGACTGGGCAGGTGAAGAGGTGGCCCAATTATGTCGTAGTTCCCACCATAGTTCCGAAGGAGCAGGAGAACTGATCAACACTTTCACGCCTATTGGTAATTTTAATTTCTTTATGGCCATAACAATGTCAAATTATTTCAGTCTTGGTACGCTGCTCAATTTCTACATAATTATATAAAAGAATTTGTTTACTAGCCCACATATTCTTTTTTATGCACCCTAATGATTTTTCTGTTTCGTTCAGATGAAGAGTTTTTGTCAAAATGGGAAATTAAAGTGTTGAACATACCCAACAGTTTCGGGGATCTGTGCATACAGGCATTCACGACACGTCAAGAAGTTGTTGACTGGGTGAAAGTTATTGTAGAAAATGTAAGGTTCCATCTATATGTAGCATTTTTTGTTATTTATTACGTATTTCTACGGTTAAAGAGGTATTTAAATACTACAGTGCCTTTTATCCCGTATGATTGTTTAAATATAATTTGAGAATTTATACATAAAACTGTTACGCTGTGATGTTTAGAAGGTGCTGATATTCCAATCGTTAATATGACGTATTTAGCTTTTTACACTTACAGCGCAGGAATGTCCACTTAATTCATCCCATTAATACAAACGATGTTCTGATACTTTTTTTTTACTAAAACAGGAAGATGCAGTAAATGATGAGGACCTAAGCCGCATAACCATTTACAACGAAGAAGGAGTTCAGCTTTGCGACATTCTACGCGAGCTCAAAACTCAAGCAGATGAGTCATTACGTGAAGTAACGCAGCTTTTGAAGTAAATTTAAAGTTTGAATTTTTATACTGCCTTCTAACCTCTGCACTTATGATGAAGCATTAATAAAGTTTGTGGAAAAAATGGACGAAAAGTTTTTCGCCGCTGCGGGAAGCCATGTCTTCCTGATTCGCACTCAAATGCCTTAAAGACTAAGCTAAACGGCTGGATCGCTATACCGACGAAAGTCTCAACGTATTTTATCTACATTGTTTTTTTCGCATTTTAAGCCATGCTTGGCGCATCTATTGTTATCTACTTCACATCAAAAATTATTTAAAAAAGGTCTGTTAACGATCGTTGGTAAATGCTGTCGTCAATAATTTTTATCTACTTATAGGCAAACGTGTCAGGAACGCAGTATTTTAATAACCGTAGCAGAATCATTAGTGAAGGAGTTAGCACATTTACGAAAGGACATAGCGTTGCACACTGCCGCGACTATGGAATTGAGTTCAATAAATGCAGTAGATACTGAAACCACAAAAGCTTTAGAGGTATGATATTTTGACCTTTTTTTGATTTAATACGAAGTTAGTCGTACGTTAGCTTTTATGTAGACTTTTAATTTCTAAAATACGATCTAACTTTGTTCAGTAAATGCTTGTTAAAACAATTTTTATGATTTTATCGCGTTTCGACTCTGATCACTAGGTCCCATGAGCAAAAACAATGAATTGTTCGAGACGATAGTTATTAAAACGATAAAAAATAGTTTTTTTTAACAATGTGTTGCATTAGTCAAAATACAAGAGATTGTCTAAGACTTTAACCTATGTTTTAAATGAGTTTTTTTTCATGTTTTCGTTTAAATCGAACATTAAGGAAACTTGGTATGTTGATTGCTTGCGATTTTTTCGTGTGTAACGCGTGTATCGTAGTCATTCTGTGACCTACAATTGTATAGGATACCCGCCGTGAATTGGAAGAGGAGCGTGCTGCTAAAGCCGCCCTTAAAGACAAGCTGTCAACAACAGAGTCACAATTGCGACAAACACGCTTAAGAGTGAATAAAATGGATCGTCAGTTGCGTGAGGCGGAAGCGAGTATTTCCAGTCTTACGGGCACTGTAAAGTCACTCGAAGATCAGGTGTGTGATGATCAGGGCAAAACTTTTCATATATAACATTTATAGCTAGTTGTCATATGAGGTGATATGACCTGTTATGATATGATTTACGGAAATACGGTTTTTAAAAACGGGGTCTCAATTAATTTCTTTTTGAACCGGTTTCGGGTCCAATGCGTGACTGAATCGATTAAAAATGTCATATTTTTAATTAGACCTCACTATTACCTTTTATATTTAGAGTCGTCAAAAAGAAGTACAACTTGAGGCACGTGCTAGAAAGTTGAAGGAATCTCTGAAGACGGGTGAGATAACCAACAATCATATAATACAAGAACGTGACGCACTTCAAAACGAGTGAGTTTTATTGCAATTTCATTTTAACCTAAATATTTTTAACTTTATGTGAATAAAAATAAATAACTAGGGATCCGAGTATATCACAAGATTTTTTTTATATCTCTAAACTTTTACGTTTTAGGCTTACACAACTGAAAGGACAGTTAGAAAAGACTATGATTGAAAATAAGGCAACGGTACAAGATTTAAACAATCAACTAAGAGATCTTAAAACCGCTTTGGAAGCGGAGAGAACTAAAAAGCAGGAAGAAATCACAATGAGAAACATGTTCGAGGAATCTTATAGGGAGAGCTTAAATACGATCGAAGAACTTAAAGCCCAAATAGAAGAACTTGATCGAAAGAAACAAAATCCCGGTAGACAATTTATTTTATTGTTAATAAAATAAAAAATGATCTTTATCGGACATTGATTGAACATCGTTTTCACCCTTTTATTCATAATTGCTTACGATTCAAAAAATCTCGTTTTATTCACTATATTCATTTAGTTTAGTATGTTATTCTAGTAACAGATTCATACAAGTAATCATGTACCTAGTTATTGTTATTATTTCTAGATCTTCCAACTGAAAGGGAAGTGGAATTAAGAGCGGAAATAATCGCAACCAAAGAGACATTACGCTTAACGGAAGAAGAAATTATTGCATGCAAACGCGAAAAAGTTCGCTTTTTAGAGACGCTTACCAAAATCGCTGTGATTATTTAAATTTTGTTTCAAATATTTTATTAATCTAACATATTTATTTTGTAAAAAAATATACCAACTAAGTCAACAATCCAAAGAAACTCACTTGTCAGGCTAAAAGGAACCAGGTAAAACTAAGAATCTATAGAAGCAAATATGAGGAGGACTGAAAATATGGATTAATTGAAAGACTGAAAATTAAATTTACTCTTTCCTTTTCAGTATCACATACCAGACTCGTTCTTTGATCATCCTCTTGAAGGTGACTTTGCCATTTAATGGTATTCACCTCAAAATTTAAGATACAACATAATATTTTTCAGGAAACCGACAACAAAATGGGAATGCACCAGAAACTGGCCACGGAGCTTCTTAACAAGGAAGAAATAATGAGCAAGATGCAAACACAAATTCGGGAATTGACTAAAAGCATTAAATTAAAGTACGAATTTTAGGTTTTTTTTATACATATTATATTTAGAATCCTAAGCCACCATTAAAGTACCGTTATAGTGAAATAATCACATAGTGTTGCTGGAGTATCAATTTTAAAATACAAACTTAAAGAAAATAAGTTTGTTGATAGTCAGCCCTTAATGAATATGAAATATATCATAATTAACATTTTGTCAAGTTTCTTTACCACTACACCATACCTTCTGTATGCTTATATGTATATTTTAAATCGAAAAAACGTTTTTTTTATTTTGCCTAATATAAAATATATTTTAGCGAACAAAAAGTAATCCAGTACGAGCAATATGTTAGAGATATGCAAATGTATAATCAAGCATCTGGAAATTGTCTTGAGAGTTCTGATGGTGCTACTTTTCAAGAATTGCAACAAGAGGTAGTTTTCTTTGCGTTTACATTATACCTTAGCGTTTGTCTAAAAGGGTTACTATTTGATATAAATGTTTTACTATCCTATGGCCATGCAGTAGCTTCTACTTTTGCACGAAAGGGCAGGCTATTGCTAGCAGATTTCCATGTTGCACTGTGAACACTTAATATCGGGTGAATCCCTTGTTCGCCTACCTCCGTTAAATTAATAAAATTTGGTAGCTCATTATTTGCGAGCATATGAGATTGTTCATTATTTGTCATTGTTAAAAAACTTATTAAATGTTTTAAGGTATAGTTTTACATAATTGCGTATCGTCAAAATTCTAGATAATGCACCTCAGAATGGGACTACTGGAAGCAGTTCATAGGAACGAGGAGTTAACGGAGATCTTGATGCAGAGGGACCAGCAGCTTGAACAACAGAACAAGACATCACGTGCCCAGGCAAAGGTTATCAAGGTCCTTCCTGATTATCTATTGTTAATTGTACAATTTTCGTTGAATATCAGGAAACGTGTTAAAAATGTTATATTTTTTTCAAACGAACATACTTCTTGTACAAGGATAAAAAATTAAGAATACCTTTAATGGCATTTTAAGAAATACATTTTCTTTTAAAAGTAAAACCTTGCTTAGAATAACTTGTTACTAACAAAAATCCAGCTCGTTAAGTACTTTTTCTTCATTTAATTATTCCCGCAATGAAACAATTTTCAACAGTTTATTGTGAACCCAATTCGTATGCTACGATAGGGTTTGATTTCATTCGTGTCCTTAAAATTAAAGCTTCTAAGATATATAATGATTTATTAATCACATTTAAAACCTTATAATACATGACGATTAAATGAAGAAATGCTGCAGGTCCGCGAAGAGTTAATCAATATGCTGAAGAATAAGGAGACGGAACAAAGTCGTGAGCTATCCATGCTACAACAGGACCTAGCAAATCGAATGAAAATTGTAGAAGAAGTGAGATTCGCGTGTTTTTACATATTTTTTATACGTAGCTTAAAAAGAAAAGTATAATACACATGTAAATAAAATAAGTGAAATATGTCACCAACCTTTGCAATAATTGTCTTGACTGCAAATTAAAATAACATGACATTAACACTTACTCTTGGCCGCCTTTCACGTTTCATTTGACATGTATTTTGTTAGGATATTCAAGCTCTTACATATTATTCATCTCGACTTAAAATAATTATAGGTGAACAAGCAAATAGCTGCAAAGGCGGAGGAGATTCAAGAACTTTTTTCAACTTTGGAAAATAAGCAGCAGCAAATCCATCGACTGGAGAAGATCGTGATAGCCTTGGAGGAGCAACAGAGGCGGGCTCAAGCACAACGCACTCGCCATGAGGAGAAAATCGCAGCGCTGGAGCACGAGCTGGCTGCTGGTGGCAACAGGCGAGAACGGTATATTTTTGCATACGTCACTTCCACTGACCTAATATCGCCTTGTTACCTTGCCCTAATATCGAATAAACTTTTCGGGGTCGTGTATAACCCATTCTCTGCATATGAAATTTGCATTATTCCGAAAGTATTCTACGCAATTTTAGTGTTCGAAGAAAGTTTCTATATGTATGTAGGCACATTTTGGATTTTGTATTTTACTTGCGAAGATTTGGTTCCTTGTAGACGGGGCAAAGAAGAACCTAATATGCACATTATAAGCTAGATGCGGTAGAGTGCAGCAGAAAAATAAACGTAATAATTATTTCCAACTTATGTCTGTCGTCTACAGCTACTTTCTATGTTAACGACGTAACTTTTAAGCGCGGAGATAAACAGTATTTTTTAATTATTTTATATTTAACTCAATAGTAGCTAAGTTTGGTATAATCCAATAAACCGTCTTAGTCAATACGTACATTTTTACCTCCACAACTTTTTACATTAAATATATTTAAATATATTCTTTACGTTTTGATATATATTCCGTAATCTAGTTTGTGTTTTTCATTGCAGAAAATTCCTGTTTTTCTAAATCAAAAGAAGTGCGCGTCGTCGTGCCAATATTGTGCAAGTTAATGTGGATGTAAACTAATCTTTTCGTTTATGTGCCGATGAAAAATATATTTTACACTGACTTGTTTGTTCTTATAGATGGTATCCCTTTTTATTCTTCACTTTCGTTACAAACATAATATACCTCTTTTTATTTATAAAATACTAAATGGTATAAAAATTTATCGTTGTGGATACATTTTTATTCTGAATCGAATAACTTTAATCTTTTAAGCGACTAATTGAATACAGCACTTCTATTTGAACTCTATTTCAATTATGTGATTGAAAGACTGACTCTAGGACAGCTTTTGTTCTATAAAATTTACGTTTTAAGAAAAAATTAAAAAAAACTATTAGTACTTAAAAGTTTAAAATAAAACTTAATAAATAAAAATAAATTTCAATTTAAAATTATATATATAAAAAAAATTATAAAAAAATCAGGTTTTATACTATAACGTAAGAAAACTTATGATTTCATGAACATTAAGGGTGTCTGTTAAGGGATTGCCACCATAATAAGTGTGTGGCAATGAATAACGTAATTTTTAATAATATTCTGAAGGTAATACCAAAAATCGCACTTTATTATTTGACGAAAGTAGTTTGGTATTTTATACACCTTTAGTACCGTTTATCTCCCAAAGCCCAGGTAAGCCAAACTTCATAATGGTCCATCGTTCTTACCATTGTTGGGAACATGCGCTTACAAACTTTCAGCTTCTATAAAATAACGGTCTGGGGTTCACGGGCTCAACTCACCTCACTATAAATACCTTTATGGTTTTTTCCGGTGCTGTTAATTGATATTTTGTCAGTACCTCGTCAAATCGTCGTAGTAACAATAAGTACGTGTCATTTGCCCAAATCAAAAGCGAAAAGAGCGAAGAGAAGTACACTCAGATGGCGCGAACAAGTCTGACTATTTGCACGTGTATTGGTTGAAAAGCTAGCCGTTATCCTAGACTTTATCGAACGCCTTTATGATATGGAAGAATAAGGCACTAAACACAAACCACGGGCTTAGGTCAATTGAGGTCTTTTAGGATATGTTCTTAACTATTAACATATTTAGTCTGAGCAAGAGTGTTACAGCTGAAGAATTGTTGAAGAAAGCAAACTTCAAACAGAAATCTACGCTGATATGTCAGTCATTTGCGACTTCGCAGACATTATAGACATTGTGGGACTACGTACTTTGCGCAGAAATTAAGTACGGTGCACTGTGCGATACAGCGGCTGCAGACCACTCTCGATTAATCTGGAGTAATCGACATGAGTAAACAATTCAGTGTCTATCTTCCATAAATATATTCGGCCGCAAAAATAGCCCACTGTTATGTATATTGTATGTGAACCATTAGTCGAAAATTACAAAATGATTATTGCTTAGGTGTCAAAAAGATAATTTATACACGGCGTCTCTTCGTTGTAATATAATCCAACTACCCGGCTCGTTAATATACAAGCGTCCGTATGACGGCCCCACAGACTACTAAGATGATATGCATATATGGACGGCCCTATGACGGGCCGCTAGCCCATCATAGTGACTAGTTTATCTATGGCCTAATAAAAATATAGTAAAGAGCGACATTGATGCACTGCTTCATTTAGAAGACTTGGTGATACTAGCCGGTAATTTCAATTTCCAAGCACTTCTTGGAATAGTTACAGTGATAACGCAAATGGATGGACCGTCTTCGCCTTAAGAGAGGAAAGTTAACTAGTTTTTAATATCGTAGGCCCTCTGCAACCCATCCGAATGCCTTCGAACCTCCGACGATACCCTCATATATTAGACATATCGATTTAAAAGAATATTTTATCGATTATTTGTATACAGCGTGTCGTTACCACCGCGACAATAAATGAACAAACATTTAAATTTTTTAAACATCAATATTTACCGAGTTATAAAATTTTCCAAAACAAACAATTTTAGAACACCCTTACGTATAAAACTGAAACGTAAAGTTCATTTGTAAAGGTAACAAAGCATATGAATGGGTTGAATGAATTTAAAAGAGACAAAACATACTGTTAGAAGGAGAGGCTTGTAATGCGACGCTGTGGCGCGAGTTGTATAGGATGTTACAAATTTTGTTTCTTTTTTACTTAATTTGTTTGTTTGAAAAATATTTTTTTTAATTATGGATTTAGTTTAACGTTAATATTTTTTTATGATTATTGGAAAGTAGCGTTAGACGTGTGTTAATTTATTGTCGCGATGGTAACGACTCGCTGTATAAGTACTTAGCAAATAGAACTCTGACCCGAGCTTTAGACCGATATCGGTGACGTAAACTGCGACAGGAAGCATTGCTTCCAAAAGTAAGAGCGAGGTTTCCTGATCCCTCCTCTGACACGGCCCACGGTAATAGTGTTCGAAGATGAGAAGGCCAAATGCTTCACTGACAGCCTTGATGTACAATACTCACCCAGCAAGCAATCCACTCGTACAAACCCCGTACAGCTGCGCGAGGTGGATGGAAAAGGAAAATTTACGAATACATTAAAAATGCGTTCAGTCATGAATTATTGACGAGCGGATGGTTTACAGAGTTGGATTATAAACTGGAACACCGCAAAGAGAAGTCGACTCCGATTGAATCTGATGATTTTGGAAACAAAGGGATAATGGCGTGGAATTACATCTGTTTTAAGGATGTTCGACAAAGTCTGGCATAATAGCTTCATTAATGCTAGGAGTGCTGTTAAAATTATACAAGGTGATTTCTGTTTGAAGATTTTAATGTCGAGCTGATGGAGCCCTATCCCGCCTTTGCCCCTTGATAGCGAGCGTTTCCGAGCCTTCTCCTAGGATCAGTATTTTCCCCGAACCCTTAATGTGTATACATCAGCGACATCGCTCCTACTCTTGAGACTACTAAGGTTGAGGTAGCACTATACGTCGACTACACAATACTAAAAGTGACTCTTATCGCCTGGATTATTTTACGCCTGGAACCTGTACAACGCCATGGGTAAAATAGGTCATAAAGTGGTGGATCATCATAAACGCGTAAGGCGTTCGTTTCATTGTACTTCGGAATTTTCCAAGCGAGGGTCTAGTAAAATGACTATGACGCAAAGTTAATCTGTACAAAACTGATGTTAAAAGCTTTCGGCATTTATCTCACCTCCCCTCGGACGATGGATCCGATACGGTGTTGTCCTATAAACGTTTTTGACGATCTCGACGACGAATGTCATAAACGATCCTATAACGTGTCACGTACAAAAACAATTAACTTTCAACATACACTAGGCATATTGCATTCGCCAGCGGACCCGAGGAAGTGACATGTGAGGCAAATGGCGGTATTACAAAATGAATAGTCTGTATGGAGAAATCCGAAGACGTTAAACGATAAAGTGACATGTGGACATGTGATTGACTTTGACATAATGACTTAGATTACTTGTCATTTTACTAGTGCGTGCGTTGTTTTGGGTTTCGCTTTAAATATTTAATTACGTGAACTTTTAACCAAAAATGTCTGAAAGAAAAGTGTTAAACGTATGTTGTTGCCTTATTAATTATTTGTGGCGTTATTGTCAATAATAATTCTAAATTCAGAACAAAAATACTAAATTTTATCATATATCATTTCAGAAATACTATCCTCCGGATTTCGATCCATCGAAGATCCCACGTATGAAATTGGCTAAAAATCGTCAATACACTGTACGGTTGATGGCTCCATTCAATATGCGATGTGCTACATGTGGGGAATATATCTATAAAGGGAAGAAATTTAACGCCCGTAAAGAAGACGTAGAAAATGAAGATTACTTAGGCATAAGAATATACAGATTTTACATAAAAGTGAGTTCATCAAAAACACTTTGATGAAAGATATTATTCGATAGCAATATTGATTATTACTTGCCATTTATTAATGGTGTTAAAAGTTTTCCTTAGTTTCTTCTGGATCCTAATGCTGACCGAAACTTAATACTTGGTAGTCAGTTTTAGTTACTTTACTTTATTTTAATAAAAAACTGGAGTTTTTAAACATAACATTCTTTATAAATGTTTTTCTTGTGCAGTAGGTTAGAAATTCTAAATTCATTATAAATTTTAATGCTAATTTGAAGTTCGAATTAAACCCCTATTTAACTATTATTCTAGAATAGCGATACTTTAAGACAGCGATATTTATTTTTTTATCTCTATCTAAATCTAACCTCGATTTCAGTATAACTGAAAAGCATACATAAGTGTCTGACATTCAGTGAAAAAAAAAAATGTCAAAATGTGCAATAGTGCAATATGGATTTCATTATTGCAGTTACTTTATTACATTTTACGAAAATACAGGATAACTTAAAATAATTGATCTCAATAAACACATATTGAACTGCACTTAAGAAGGAATTGATTACCAAGTTTTACAAAGCTTTCCGAAAGTTGTGATAATTTATATTTTGTATGATTAAGTCAACTTTTTATCATATCATCATCATCATCATCATTTCAGCCTGTTTGAGTCCACTGCTGAACATAGGCCTCCCCCACAGACTGCCATGAAGTACGATCCTGAGCCACCTGCATCCATCGACTTCCCGCACATTTGCACAGGTTGTCACTCCATCTAGTGGGGGGGTCGTCCTACACTGCGATGGCCAGTACGAGGCTGCCACTCGAGAACCTTTCTATCAACCTTATATATTTAGATAGATAATTATGGTTGAATATTTACTCTATACCAATTGATATTGTTAGTTTGGTGCTCTTTTTAAGTATCAATGAACCCTAAATTCATTTAATTTCCTATTGCAGATAGTAGTTATTACTATACACAAGGCCATCAATGATCAATGAAAATTACATCCCTTTTAACAAATTTTCAGTGCACAAGGTGCTTACAGGAGATATCATTTAAGACCGACCCAAAAAACACTGATTATGAAATAGAAGCTGGTGCTACACGGAACTTTATGGCTTTAAAACTGGCTGAGGAACAAGCTAAACGCGAAGAAGAGGAACAGAAAGAAGAAGAAGCTAATAACCCTATGAAACTTTTAGGTAAATAATATTTTTATTTAATTTGAACAATACTGTTAATTCACATTCTAATTCTATTGGGCCAATTACTTTTGGGGTGTTTCTTTTGGTGGTGTTTCTTTTCTCTTCGGGTGGTGAAATATTCTATTTAAATTATTATAGTTTAGTGATATTACTGATGTGCCTTCACATTCGAACTCCCTTAGAACACAATGTTCAAGGTCCAATGAAAAATTTTCAATAAAAAAAAATATTTTAAACAAGATAATTTTTAACTTTTTTAAAGAAATAAAGTTGTGGCAATGTTAACAATGGTCTTTAAATAAAGATATCATATTAATAGTAAAAATATATAGATAGCCCAAATAGCTAAAAACATTGGTACAAGAAAGCAAATTAAAAGTGTAAACATGGTAAAATAAGAATAAAGGGGTAATAAAAGATAAATAAAATTCTGTTCAATATTTTATGTGTTTTGTAATTATATTTTTTGTATATTTATATGTAATTATATAATGTTTATATTCAATAGTATTTACTTAAACTTATTCGTATATTATTAAATAATTTATGAGGCTGTTTTTTTGGTCTTTCGAAATAGATTATAGTAAACATCTAATAGTTTAAATCTTCCTCAATTGATTAAATCTTGAAATAGGTAATTTATTATTTTTGCTGTAAGCAATGACTACTATCATTTTAGATTATTATATCATAGATCATATATATTAGATTTCTTATATATTAGATCATTGTATTTTTACGGTAGTAGGGCCACGCAACAGTGTTGGCTGTTGCACGAATGGGCAGGTCCGTCTGGGTTATTACCACCACCTCACAAAAGACCAGTGTAAAGTAGAAGTGATGCACTTCTGCGTTTCGTCTGGTGAGTGAGGTAGCCGGGGCCCACATTATTAAAGGTGGCAACGCATCTGTAAACCTACGGGTGTTGCAAATGTCATCATGGGCAGGCGAGTATCACTTCACATTAGGTGAACCGCCAGCTCGTTTGCCACTTTCTCACAAAAAAAAAATTATGTCCATCTATGTGTGTGAATAGAACCAACCAAAATCCACTGGACGTTTGACAAGTCCGTGCTCGCGAATTTTTCAATGCAGTAAACAATATCACATGGTGGTACACCTGATGTAAAGTGATAACCGCTGCCCATGGACATATTACAATACCCGTAGGGTTGCAGATGTGTTGCTATCTAATAAAGTGAGCCCGAGCTATCTCACTTACCAGACGAAATGCTTCCACTTCACGCCGGTCTTCTTTGAGGTCATGGTACTTACCCGAACGGACTTGCCAAGAAAGGACTTGACTTAACGGACGACTGCAAAATTTTATTGTTTTCATATTCGCTTAATCTGTCTCACAAAATACTTGATATTGTAATAAAAAAACTCAATTGAGTATGTTATATTGATGAAAATAACATTTAATAAAATATTTTTTGTTTTGATAAAATTTGTCTTATATAATACTAGCTAATCCGGCAAACGTTGTTTTGTGAAATTTCGTAACATCCGTTCTTAGCTGACCTCTACACACAATACAATACAACACACACAATACAGTAAATTAGCAATATAAAATTTCCAGAATACAGAACAGAGCAGTCCAGACAAGAGATAGAACTTTTGGAGAGTCTTGAAGACTTGAAAGAGTTAAATAGACGGCAACAATCAGTTGACTACGAAGGCATGCTAAAGCAGTACCAATCAGAAACAGCAGAGGAACGAAAAGCAAGGGAAGAGAAAGAAGACAATGAATTCATTAAGTATGTTAATTTTTCCTAATTGTATTGATTTATTTTTATCTTACAATCAATTTTGGTCTAGGGCTTTCTGTTTTAAAAGTCAGTTGTATTCATGTATGTGTAGTATTATTCGGCGACGGGCTTACCGCCTGGAAAAACCAACTGAAAAGCTTGATAATACCAGTCGCTTTCCTTATTACTAAGTGGATGTATTTTTTACATCCTCAGCAACTTAGTATGCAATATTTTTGAGACAAATGCCTTGTGTTGTTTTTTATATTAAAGACGTAATGATTTAACAACTAGTTGGATAACTTGAAAATGATTCTAACGATAGCATCATAAGTGATCAATAATTTTAAAATCAACAATATACGTATTGTTACAAGCTAGGAGAAGGAGGATTGGAGTAAAAAAAACCTATATTCTTTCGCTTTATTTACAATTATAACCGTACGCACTGGCACCGGGGCTATTGTTGCCTCTTTGTTATTGTTATATAGTGTATGTTTTTACACTGTATTGTTGATCTCTACAAGTTCTCCACTTACTCCTCTATAGGTGCGACGGCCCTCTTTTTATCGCACCAATCCTCTACTTACACTTCTCCCTTTCACATACCTTTTCCTTTTCTTCTTCCTTCACACCACAGCTTGAGTTCTTCCACTTGCCTGTCTAGCGCGCTCCAGACCCATTTAGGGCAAAATTCGAATTTTCGTATAAAATGTTCTAGAATGCGGTCTTGTAAGGGCCAAATTTCGATCACCTTTTTGCATACAATCTAAAAGTAACGTAAGCTTCTAAGAGCAACGATTTGTGTGTTTGTTAGTGAAATGATTCACACGGTTATTTGTTTCTTATTTTCTTCAGATGAGGATAAATTTCTTCTCCGATGTTTTGCTTGTAGAGAAAAGATTAAAAAAGATGCCCGCGTTACTTCATTAAATGGCGGAGTTTGCTTGGCTGTCGTCAGAAACATGAGAAAAAAATTTCTGATAAACGTATATTTTTGATTTATCCCCTAATCGTCAAGTTTCCATCCCAGTCATTAAAGGCTGTTGTATATGTGTTAGGTTCATGGTTATCAGATAACATACATCTTTCATCTCTACTAAAATTTGACGGTTTTTGTTTTATTAACTTTGCTTTGATATTCGTTTGTGAGGTTTGAGGTTTATGAAATCCAAAGTTTACCGCACCGTAAGGCTATACAATGGCCAAAATTAGTGAAGTCAAATGAGTAATGAAGTAGTAGTGTTCTGTAGCTTAAACTTAACCATAAGAAATATATTTTGCTTAAAATCGTATTAAATAAACACTCATGACTATTCGCCCCTTTGTTTAGATCACGCAGCGGTGAAAGTGCCTTATACACCCACTTTCTAATAAACAATTACATTTTTATATTTATGGTTCATTTGAATTTGAATGTAATAAATCAATCTATTAGTATTGAGTTTGAATGTAATAGTTATTTAATCTAAAATTACGATGAACATTTTTATCTCTATTTTAATATTCATAATGTCTATACTTTTAAGTAAACTTTATCAATTTAACCTTAACTTTTTGTTATAGTCTAAAAGGAGGAAGGTAAAATTTTCTATTTAAATCTCCATTTTACGATTGAAAAAAAAAACTGCAAATACGCTACGGTGGTAGGACCACGCAACAGTGTTCGCTGTTGCACGATTGGGCAGGTCCGTCCGGGTTAGTACCACGACCTCACAGAAGACCTACGTAAAGTACGTAAAGTAGAAGTGTTGCACTTCTGCGTTTCATTTGGTGAGTGAGGTAGCCGAGGCCTACATTATTAAGAGGTGGCAACGCATCTGCAACCCTACGGGTGTTGCAAATATCCATGGGCAGGCGGTTATCACTTAACATCAGGTGAACCGCCAACTTGTATGCCACTTTCTCACACTAAAAAAATGCGAAAGTGTGTTCAAGAGAGTCATACTGACGACCCGAATGGCGTTGTGGGTAGTGTCCTTCTGAGTCCTGCCTTCTGAGCCAGAGGGTGTGGGTTAGATCCCCACTACTGGAAAAATATTGTGTGATGAACATAGTATTTTTCTAGTGTCTGGGTGTTTATATATGTATAATATGTATTTATTTACAAAAGAAAAGTATGTTTAAGTATGTTTATCAGTTTTCTAGTACCCATAGTACAAGCTTTGCTTAGTTTGGGACTACAGAATGTTGTGTAAAAATGTGTCCTAAAAAATTTATTTAATATTTATTTATTTATTATATTAATTTCAATATACAGCGTGTCTTTACCATCGCGACAATAAATGAACACACATATAGAGGATAACTTTTTAAAATTGTATTAAACATTTACTTTCTATAAACATCAATATTTACAGAGTTATTAAATTTTGCAAAACAAAGAATTTTAGAACGCCCTTACGTATAAAACTGTAACGTAAAGTTCATTTCCAAAGGTCACAAAGCATATGAATGGATTGAATGAATTTAAAAGAGACAAAACATACTGTTAAACATACTGTCTGTGTAACAGAAGGTAATGCGACGCTGTGGCAACGAATGAAAAAATCTCTGAATGTTTGAATCAGTCAGTTGTAGTTGTATAGGATGTTACAAATTTTATTTCTTTTTTACTTAATTAGTTTGTTTGAAAAATATTATTTTTAAATTATGGATTTTATTTAATGTTAATACTTTTTTATGATTATTGGCAAGTAGCGTTAGACGTGTGTTCATTTATTGTCGTAATGGTAACGACACGCTGTATAAATATCAAGCATTACCATACCTACATCTTTTACAATGTTCCAACACCTTTCAGATCGGTGAAATTCAATAACACAAGTAAACACAAAGTGGTAGCCGAAGAGATCATCGAGGAGGTGCAAGATGATTGCGGTCCAGCGGCGAAGAGCGTCAAGGTGGAAGTGCCGCCTAAAAAGCCGGGCGGCGATGTCAAGAAAAGCGAGACCTGGAACAGAAGTATCGGCGTGATGGCGAACAAGTCCACGCTGGCGAATCTCGTTAAGAAGAAAACTGAATCGGTTCTCGATAGTGTTGACAATCGAGAAAAAGTCTCGAACGAGAAAGCCGAGCAGAGGACTTCTGATATTTCATCAGCCGAAGTGCAAAGCAGTGGAGAATCAATACAGACTGTTAACGCCAGCGGCGGGCTCTCTCTATTGGCAAACTACTCGGGCAGTGATAGTGACTCTCAGTGAGTGATTTCATATTGTTGAATAATAAATTAAACGAATTTTGTAATTGCATGTCTGGTTGGTTCTTTGCCTTGTTTGTGGGAATAGTTACGTTTAATTTATAAACAATGAGAAATCTAAATAAAGAAGTATAATTATGGGTACCTAGTTATACGGTGAAGAAAGTATAGACCGGTGCCGTAACTTTATTAAATTGAGGTCCGAAATCTTAAACGTCCCTAAATTCCCCTACTTTTATTAAAGTAACCCCTCATGAAATTCTTGGCTTAAACATCCAAAACACAGAATCTGACACAATAACTGATCTAACGTATTTCATATCCATTATAAGATAATTAAATGAAAGATTATCTGTGACCACTAATACCTATAGGTTTATCTGTTATATAAATTAAAGCATATATGGGAATTATAGATATCAATTAAAACAAGTCGCTACTTTTTTCGAAGATACGCTAAACCAACCTCTTTTATCGTCGCATAAAAGTTTTTTTTATACTAAAAAGTTGACTTTAGTGCGGCTGTGTTGCCAGTGAAAAAAGGGACACAAATAGCAATAACGCGGATCGGTCGCACCGTGCTTAACAAAAAGCTTTCAAAGCTGACACTTCGACAATCGGCTTAACGGGCGCAGTCGACGCGACCGTCGATTCTTTTGTTGACAGCGCTTCTATTTATTGCAACGACAAGTGCATTCACGCAATCAGATTACGCGGCGCTTTCATTTTACTTTTTATCCAATTTTATTGCCATATTTAGGGGATTTAATACTTTTTTTTTCCAAAACACTGTCAGTCTGCAATATGACGTTTAGAATTGAGCTTTGAAAAACCATTCTCAACGTTAATTTTAGAATTCAGAATCGTTATTAGTATATTTAAAAAAAGTTGTTGGAATGAAATCAATAATTTAATAGGAAATTTTGTGGCAAACGATGTAAAAGCATTAATATATATTTTTAAACTAATATTTCGTCATGTTTATAAATAATTATTATTACACAGGACACACTAAAAGTTTCCGGAACTGGCCACTTAAATAAACAATATTTAAAAAGTAATTGCAACATTTCAAATTGAACTCTGGCTGTAGAATGCAGTTTGTTTCATCTGACTGTTTTACATTGTGGCGCCATTTTAAAAAATTGCGTGTCGACATTAACATGGATTTAACTCGGGAAAATTTTTGCAGTATGATTTTCCACGAGGCAATCGAGCGTCCCATACGCTCGATTGCTGCTTCTTTCAAGATGAGCCGAAACCAACCAAAAATCGCGCAAAAAATGCATCTAAGTGGATGGTTGCTTCTTTTTTTTTGTAATAAAACTGTACGTGGCCATTGTTGCTTTAGAGTGTTACCGTGAATAGTGACTGGTACACGACGATTTGTTTGCCGGTTAGTTATTGACGAACTGCGTAAAAATAACCGTAAACGCCGTATCATCTTGCACCACGAAAATGCTAGTTCAGACAACCAATTTTTGAAGATGAAAAACGTGGAACTTATGAGCCATCCTGCATACAGTCCCGACCTGGCACCTTGTGATTTTTTTCTGTTCCCAAAAATTAAGAACCAATTATTAGATTAGATTTATTAGATTTTCATCACCAGAAGAGGCTGTTGAAGAGTATGAAAAACACGTTTATGAGGTCACCACGGAGGAGTGGCATAAATGTTTTCAAAATTGTTTTAAACGGGTCAAACAATAAATTCATTTTTGACCTTTAATATTATTTTTTTCTTATTCCCTTCGGAAACTTTTAGCGTGCCCCACGTACACTTATTACTGTGTTTGTTCTGTGCAAGAGCGATTAGCGTGGGCTACCACATATTGCTATATCAGAAAAACGGTCAGGATAACGTTCTGTCGTCAGCGGTATTCCCCGGCTGATATGACTTAAAGACGTTCAAGAAAAAAAAAGAACGCATATTCGCACCTCTAAACTGTTACTCCCCTGATGCTATGAATGTATGTGTACAAAACTGGTAGAACCACAGTTTTGTACACAACAACAGTCTTCGCCATTTCACGAACGGGCAGAACTGTCCGGGGACCTCACAGAAAACCGGTGTGAAATGGAAGTGTTGTACCTCTGCGTTTCGTCTGGTGGGTGAAGAAACCGGAGCCCACTTTATTAAAAGGTGGCAACGCATCTGCGTCCCTACGGCTGTTGCAAATGTCAATGGGTGGCGGTTATCACTTAACTTCAGGTGAACCACCAGCTCGCGTGTCACATTCTCACATAAAAATAAATGAAAGTTTGTCCGTTTGCTTCCTTAGCCACACAAAAAATAACGTTACCTAAAAACTATATATATACTTCTTTCTCATGCACTTGGAATTCTGCTTCCTCTTTTATCTCACTCGCACAATACTTACACAAATCATTTTTGACAAAATCCATCCAGACTCGGTCTCCCTCTACCCTTACACCCTTCATACATATTAACACTTTTCCTAACATATAATAATTATATAAACAACTAAACATCCCACGAAAATAAACATACAATAGACGTACATACAGCTATAACTGTGTATATCGTTTTTATTATACAATCATCGTGCCCTAGCAATGGCAATACTACTTTTCTCTTGTGTCTGCCATCGATAAAACAGTATGAGGTATTTAAATGTTAATGAACTTGTAGCTGAACGGCCGCAGCCCATACATATTCCAACAATCCAAACTAAGTATGTGAGTCGGGCAGTGACATAGTTGGGGTTTTTTACCGAATCAAATAAATGAAAATTAATTCATTACGCCGGCGCTTTGCTCAAGCCAGACGCTACATTGCAAGTGCAATGGCTCACTTGCAATTCGATGAAAAAAGTATCTGCATCTGGGAATGTTTGAACTATAATTAGTAGCGAACGGCTCTGGCCGCGGGGCCGCCGTGTTTCCCCCGACCCTCCTAAACGCCGAACGCCACGCCCATTACATAACAAATTGATAATTCCGTGTGTCGAAGGCGGTACCTGCTGATTCTCGCAAATCGGGCCCACCGACAAAAAGCCATCGCCGCGGCCTCGGTGATAAATAGGAGTCGCATCCCCATTTTTTCCCTCGGCATAAATATCACCTTTTTTTCGGCGACGTAACGGCTTCGGGGCCGACACGTCGGTGCTCGGTTCTGGGAAGCGTCCGCGGCGCCAGCCCCGGCGATAAATAAAAGGCTGCTCGGGTAATATTATGTTACGCGCGGGACGTTTCTCGAACGAGTGCGCGCGGGCGCGGTGGTCGCCCCCTTTCGGCCACTCGAGCCCGGCTAATGAGGCAGATACGTCCGCTGTCTGCACTTACATCTCACTCGCTTTGCCAACTAGCCGCGTTCGTATTCGCAAACGTGATCGTACCCCTTAATCGGGCTTATTTTTAAAAACTATTATTATAATGAAAAGTACTAAAAGTATTATCGTGCCCCCGAGTGAAAAGAAATAAATAATAGAAAAGTATGAATAGAGTTAACAGAATTTCTCGGCTTCAGATTAAGGCCACCTTTTCTGGTCTCACAGAAGAATATTTACAAATAGTTGAAATCGTGAAATAAACAAAACCAGACTTCAATAGGTTGTATTTTTTCTTTCTTTGTCAGCGTATTTCCATCTAATTTCCGTGTTGACGTTTTTTTTTGTTTTGTTTTTCCCTTATCTATGTCCAATCTTGTGTTTGGGACAATAAATGATAATGATCTCCCGTGGCTTGTCTTGCTGTGTCGGTCACGGTGACATTTTCGCATCAAGAGATGCCCGTTGAGCTAAGTGGTCGAGTCGGTTAATAAAATCAGATAATAGATGCAACCTTTTACCTTCTTTGATTATATCTTATGGGCGATTAGTGGTTACCAATAGAAACGGGTTCCGTGTTGTCCCATCGAATTTTTTAAGTAGAACAATGGAAGCAAATTAAAAAAGCTAGTAATTGAGTTTAAAAAATTTAATATGTTCATTGAATTGTGTTTTAATTTCCAGTTTTACCTAAATACTTGCCAGCCTCATGTCGAAGGTACAGTGAAAGAACAAAGATCAGAAAATTAATTTTACATACTTAGCCAAAATTACATAAATAGCCAAAATTAACTTGGAATATATTAGTTCTACAAGTAAAGTTTAAAATTAAATTAATTACACACGTTAATTACTATATCAAATTGATAATATAAAACCAAGTAATTCGGATAGATTGTGTGAGCACGACTTTATATTATTTACGACACTAACTTCGATGACCTGGCTTCGCATGGTAGGTGAATGTAAGCTGTTTTCGCTGTATTTTCCGCATTATTTAGGATTTATATATTACCACATAGAATGACACTCCATATGTTGATGTTTTTATATATCCCCCAAATATGACGACTTTCTTCTGTCTTGATCTATAATATATGTGATAATTAACACTTATATGAATAATGAATACTATGCTACTAAACGTAACAATAGATTTTTAGATTTTAGCAATGATGTTTAATAATATAGATGCGCATTTCCATACTACGCGGCGTTAAGAAATTGTTCAGCTTTACATTATATGACACATATAAGTGAATGTGACAGATGATATAGAATGTATGATACGGAAAGAGATATCAGTCTATAGAATTGCAATCTAATGCTGTGGGCTAGTGTCATATATATCTCGTATTTGTATACAGTATCATTTTATTTTAGAGAATACATACAAACAAACTCTACCATTAAAATTAAAATTTATAGAAAAAGAAAAAGTAGGGTCGACTAAACTCTAACATCTTAATATTTGTATCGTTTAAAATTATTCAACGAAAAGTAAGATATATTATTAACTTATTGTTTCATTATAATTTAATTACATAAAAATGAATAATTTACTAAAATATCTTAACGTGTATTGTTGTACAATTTGTCACGTCATTTTACTTGCCCCTGCAATTAACGATACATTTATGGAGATTCAATGCAACATAGTTTTATGGTTATGCTTGACATACGTCGATTACTATTGTGACTTCTTTTAACT